GCTGTGACAAAACAGCTAACAAAGGAACTTTAACTGAAAAAATTATCGGAACAGTTAACAAACGGAGCCTAAACAGAAGGATTAGAATATCATAGGTTATGTGAATAAAAATTAAGTAATTACTTTTACTCACTAATTGGTCAGCTTTACGTGAATTAAAACTTTAGCAGTTTGCTTAAGTTTTTATTCACGTAATGCTGAGCAATTTTCTTTAAAACTTTTTATGAAATATACGACGTAAATTTTTCAAAATGTACTGTAATTAAGAAAAATAGAGGTTTAATGTCACCGTGGATCACAAAAATCTCAGAAAATTTTCTAAAATTAAGCAAAAATTATATATTAAATACTTGAAAACAAAAACACAAGAAAGTAAAATTCTTTACAAAAATTATATCAGATAGTTTAAAACACAAAGAAAGAATTTAAAAAAACTGTACTAATCCAATCTACTTGAAATGAACAAGCATAATTCTAAATGCACCTGGGAAATTCTAAGAGAAGTTACTGGCGTGCAAAAAACAAAAGCATGCACACTGCCTGTAATCTTAAAAATTTATGATGAATTTTTGTCCAATACAACAATGATATGTGATGAATTAAATAAATTCTTAGTGTCAGTTGGCCCAAATCTTGCAAAAAAAATTCCTTTTGTGATAAACAAAATAGATAACTTCGATTTTCCGTTAACTTCGTCTCTAACTTCCTTTAAATTATCTTTTGAAGAATTTGAGCAATCTTTTAAAATGCTAAAGTCAAATAAATCTGTCGGTCACGACAATATATAGTAATGTGGTCATTGAATCGTATGAACATTTGAAAGATGTACTATTTAAAGTTTTACACTGTTCAATAAAACAGGGAATATTTCCAGACCATCTTAAAATAGCCAAAGTTACACCAATTTTTGAAGAAGGTGATACTACAAATCTTACAAATTATCGCCCAATCTCTGTTTTACCTGTTTTTTCTAAAGTGTTAGAGAGAATCCTACATAACGTAATTTATAACCACCTTTCTTTAAATAATATACTTTATACTAATCAATATGGGTTCAAAAAAAAATACATCAACAGAACACGCGATACTCCAGATAACTCGTAGTATTTCTGAATCGTTCCCAATATACGTTGGGAGTTTTCATAGATTTATCAAAAGCTTTTGATAAAATCGATCACCAAATTCTCCTTAAAAAAGTTAAATATTATGAAATTAAAGGAAATGTTTTAAAGTTACTTCAAAGTTACTTAAGTAACCGCAAACAGTTTGTTTATAATAATGAAGTTAACCCATCTAATTTATTAAACATAATCTGTGGGGTTCCGCAGGGCTCGATATTAGGACCCCTTCTTTTTCTCATTTATATTAATGATCTTCATAAAGCTTCTAATTTGATGTCAGTCATGTTTGCCGATGACACTAACTTCTTTTTGTCTGATAATAGCATAAATACATTATTTCAAGATATGAACATGGAATTAACAAAAATATCTGATTGGTTTAAAATGAATAAACCTTCACTAAAACAAAATGGATACTTTTTCATCCAGCGTCTAAAAAAAACTCCTTCCTTGTGAATTACCTTTACTTTTTATTAATAAAATCCCAATAAAAAAAGTAATTACTGCTAGCTTTTTGGGTATCTATGTTGATGAAAACCTTAGTTGGAAACATTACATTGAATTCTTGTGTAATAAAATTGCTAAAAGTATAGGAATATTGTATAAAGCTAGAGGTGTGTTAAATAAACGGCGTCCTATGATTCAACCAAATCTCTAATTTCAATTTAGAACCGAATATGAGAAATTTATTACACAACCGAAAGTATTTACGAAAAAAATTAGAACCGAAAAAATTTCAATCGAATTTTCGATCGAAAGTCATTAATGATTTTAGAACCGAATTTCATTAAAATGGTTTACAACCGAAAGTTACACTGTTATCAAACATTGTATATTTTAGAAAACGATGAGGGAAAACGAAGAATAATGAATGAAAAGGTTGCTGACCCATACCAAACCCTCAGTCGATGTAGCAGCACTCCACTGCGAGTCAGGCTATTTGTCAGTTGGTGTATGTACTGAAGCCCCCAGCAGCAGGCTATTTGACGTTAGGTGAAAAAGAAAGGATTTTGTAATTCGATCCAAATTTTTTCGGTTGTAAAACTCGGTTTAAAAACTTTCGGCGCAAGAAAGGATTTTGTAATTCGATCCTGCAATGAAAGTATTCTTTTCGGTTCTAAAATTTTTGGTTGTGAAATATTTCGGTGATATTTTCGAGGATAAATATTTTCGGCTCTATCATGTGACGCGAAATAAACGTAGTTTAATTCAATTATATTACTCTTTTATCCATTGTCATTTAAACTATGCAAATATTGCTTGGTGCAATGCCAATAAATGTAAACTGGAGCCTCTTTATCGTCAACAGAAGCATGTTGATTGTCTTATTAATTTTAAAAACAGATTTACTCATGCCAAGCCTCTTTTATTTGAAATGAAAATTCTTAATATATAAATAAAGCAAGAGGCTATGATGCTATTTCAGCAAGCATAATCCAAGACTGCTACGAACTTATTAAAGATGTTTTATTACATATTTTTAACAAATCGCTTAAAACAGGTGTTTTTCCAGATAAAATGAAAGTTGCAATTATTACACCCATTTTTAAATCAGGAGATGAAAGTCCGGTTACAAATTATCGACCTATATCGGTATTACCTGTATCTTCAAAAATCCTCGAACGTATCATGTATAATAGGATATTTGCATTTTTGTATGATAACAATCTTCTTTATTGGAACCAATATGGTTTTCGATCAAATTACTCTACGGAACATGCACTTATGCAACTTGTTGAAGTTATCAGTGAAGCATCTTCTCATAACAAGTTCACCTTAGGTATATTCCAAGACATGTCAAAAGCATTTGACACCGTTAACCATCAGATTTTATTAGAAAAACTAAAATATTATGGAATAAGCCACGAATACCATAAATGGTTTACCAGTTACTTAACTGATCGAAAGCAGTTTATTTCTCTTAATGATGGCTTTCAGACAAACAAACTTAAAATATAATGTGGGGTTCCACAAGGCTCCATCTTAGGTCCGTTGCTATTCTTAATCTATGTCAACGATCTATATAAAGCATCAAATACTATGTCTACTATTATGTTTGCAGACGACACCACTTTATTCTATTCTCACAGTAATATTATCTCTCTATTTCAAGTAGCAAATAATGAACTAGAACAAATATCAAACTGGCTTTTCGCTAACAGCTTATCTTTAAACACTGATAAAACTAAGTTTTCCTTATTCCATTCTAAACTAAAGTTTCAATCTATTCCAAAATCCTTACCAATGCTATATATAAATAACATCAATATTGAGCGCTAATTCACAAATAAATTACTTGGTATTTTAATAGACGAAAATTTATCCTGGAGAGCTCATATAAATCATATTAGCAATAAAATCTTAAGAAGTATTGGCATCTTATATAAAACCAGACGAATCTTAGACAAATCTACACTAACTCAACTATATTTTGAATTCATAAATAGTTATTTATCTTATGGCAATATTGTTTGGGGTAGTACAAATAAATCTAAACTCGACTGTCTCCTTAAACAACAGAATCATGCAGCACGCATTATTCATTTTCAAAATCGCTTCACAAATACTAAATCTCTTCTAAAAAGTATGAGAACACTTGATATTTATGAGTTAAATTTTTTCAAAATTACACAATTTATGTTTCAACATCAGTCAAAAAAAATGCCGAAGGTTTTCGAAAATATTTTCCATAAAACATTAAACCGATACAACACGTGATCTACCGGAAGATTTAAAAAACCTTTCCGTTTATCAAAACTTACGAGCTTTGCCATTTCCTATCGTGGCCCAATGCTATGGAACCATTTTACAAGTCTGAGTGGTAAACTTAAAGAAGCCAATACCTCTCAAAAATTTAAAAAGAACATAATCGAACTTATTGCCAATCACGATTCTTTACATGACTTTTTCTAACAATACACGATTATTTCCAATTTTTATTATCAAAGGTTACTGATGAAAAGACTTTATCTTCTTCAGGTTTTCCGGTTTTGTAACTATTATAAATAATGAAATGTACTTGTATTTAATATTTCTAAATATTTTACGGAAATTAACTTTAATTGTAAATGATTGCTTGACAAAAATTGAAAAATATATATATATATATATGTCAGCGGAATGTTTTTAATATTCTTTGTTTTATGTATAAATGTAAAACTAACTCTTCCCCAGTTTCTTTCCATAATTTATACACGCTGAAATATAAAAATAAATACAATTTAAGAAATGATTATTTAATTTGTCAACCATTTTTTTTAGTTCTTTTTATATTAACAAAAAAGTCTTAGTCTTATCTTTTATTTATTTCTCATTGAGTAACGTTTTTAACAATCTAATTGTAAATTTTTCTTAACGATCTAATTGTAAATTTTTCCTAACGATCTAATTGTAAATTAATTAATTTTTTTTTGTAATCAGAACAAAAAAAAAAAAAAAAAAAAAAAAGCAGTTACTGAGTAAATTGCTTAACTTTACGTGAATAAATATTTGAGCAAAACTGCTGAAGTTTTTATTCACGTAAAGCTGACCAATTACTGATTAAAAGCAATTACTTATTTTTCACCCGGCCTTATTTACTTTCCTCCGTTTCCTCCGTTTCCTCCGTTAACCGGCCGTTAAGAGTTTTTTTCTTAACGGACGTTCAAATTCTCCTTTAGTTTAACGGAGAGGCTGCAGAGCGTTTAAAATATAATATCAAAAGTATTTGAATGTCAGTAATTGAATTGATATATACAACGCACTACAATTTGTGTTTTGCAATTAGTTAAATTTTAAATGAGTTATTCTTTTTTTTTTAAATCATATATTATTAACTAAAATTAGAAAGGTTGTCTAACACTGATTTGTGAAGCGCAGCTTATTAGATCTATGCGTGTGCTTGTGACATTGAGTTTACGTTTGTGAAGCAAAATAAAAAACATTGAGTTATTCAATCATCAATTTATTTTTAAAATTTTTTAATAGATTTAAATGTACTGCAAAGAAGTTTTAAATTCACAAATTTCTAAGAAAAGATGATTGCTGAGAAATTTAAAAGTCTTGAATCTGGAATAAATGATTCAGCAGTTATTAAAAAAAGCATTGCAGTAATTAGCACCACGAAAGACCGGAACCGAAAAAATTCTAAACCTTTGTTAGAACAAAATCATGGTAAAAAAAACAAGTTACACGAAATCAAGCGTTTTAACCAAATCAATGCTCGAGTTAAACGTAATGTTATTTTAGTTTCAAAATGGCTGAATTCACCACAAGAACAAAAAAAATATGCATATCGTTCGTTGTTTATTTTTGGTCCCAAAAATAAATTTCGTTTACTTGCCATAAAGATCACTGAGGCAAAATATCTTTTCATTTTTTAAAAATATGTATTTTTTAAAGTGTGAGTATATATGTCCCTGTTTATTAATACATTAATAAAATAATAATATATAGATACAAAGTACATAGTCATTTTTAGCTCCCTAAAAACATTACAAAAACTTTCAGTATCTGAAATATCTCAAACCTTATCAACGCCATAAGAGTGTTCTTGGCTTTTTTGGTTGACAGAGGGCGCCGTTGTGAAGCAAAAAAATGCAAATCAAACGCCTGGCGCTGGTTTGAAATTAGAAAAACATGTGAAAATATATATGCTAAAATAAAATTATTTAAAGTATAAATATTTCATATCAGATATTTTTAAATTTTCATTTATTTTTGTTTAAACATAATTTGTTGATAGTTTTTACTATAATTTCCTTATCTTATACGTTGTATGAATATTTCATACTACTCACCATCATAATTACGTGTATAATTATGGCTTTGGATGTTCCTATGCCTTATGAAAGCAAATCGAAAATTAGCAAGTTTTCAGTAAGTTATTTAAATTAATTTCCTCCTTTTGTACATAATTTTTTTTTTGAGAATAATTTGTGAAAACTTGTTTCTATCTAAAGTTCCGACCAGCATTTTTATTTGAGAATAATTTGTGAAAACCTGTTTTTATCTAAAGTTCCGACCAGCATAAGATATAGTTTAGTTGGTCCAACGTATTTGTTACCATATTTGGAAGCATTACTGTATATATAAGCATACTATAGATTGTTTCAATACGAGTATGCTTTTATGCAATTTTATACATTTTCGCCAACTAACAATGTAATGTGGTTGGCCGAAGTGCATATTAAAGGCCGTTGCGCCCACCATATTCAGCTTTTGTGCCAACAGCTAAAATAGTAGAATATAAAAAAAAAGTAATAATAAACTTTCAAAAGGTTAAAAAGACTTCCAAAAATAACTATATATTTGAAGATTTGGATCTTCTTATCAGATCTTTATGTTTTGAGGAGAAGAATGTTTTGGACATTTCAAATATTTGAATCATAATAATATAATAATTTTAATATAAATCAATCAAAAAAAAAAAAAAAAAAAAAAAACAAGTTTTACGTCATTAAGCAAGTAAATAATTATTTAATTACAAAATATATACTACGAATGAATATAACTACTAATATATAAAAAATTTATAAACAGTTATTATTGTATTGATCTACAAATAAATAAAAATTTATGTAAATGATTTCTAAAAACGGCTAATGTAATGGGGTATAATATTTGAGAAGTAACACGCGCTACAAAACGCGCCAAGTCACAAGTAAAAGTTTTGATTTAGTTTTAATACAACATTCTATATACTGAAAATTATCATCTATTTTAATATTTGTACAATTAAAAGTAAACAAAATAAACAAAATTTGTATATTTGAATGCTTGCTAAAAACGGGCGCCCCTGAAGTAATCTTAAGAATATTAACTATTATATTATTAGGGGAAAGCGGGGCAACATGGCAAATGGGGCAAGATGGGTTTTCATATAACAACTCATCAAAACATTTTAAAATTGGGTAAAAACAAAACTGTATTTGCATCTCTAAATGTTTTGTAAAGTGTTTCATAAAGTTGTTAAAGATATTTAAAGATTGTTAAACAAAAAGTATGTTTCATATCTAACCACAGATGATTATCAGTTATAATCATCTGTGGTTAGATATGAAACATACTTTTTGTTTTCTCATAATTTATTTCATTATGTGCCAAATGCATTAAGTGCAATTTTAAAATACTAAGTAATTTATAGCAATAATTTTTTGTTAAGATTACTAATTTTGAAAAAATAAATTCTTGAAGTTCTTGTCTATTATATATTATTGCCGAACTTAGTAGCGCTTTCGAGCCTGTTTGTTACGTACCCTTAGCAGCCATTGCAAGCAAGGTAATAGCGAGAAAGAGTCGCAGCACTTTGTTTTATAAGAAAACGTGAACGAACGCGTATCCAAATATCTAACATACGTAAACTTTAAATTAAATAATGTTAAAACATACGTTTAAACACACTGAAACATTTATCAAGTTTTTCAGTTTGATTTTCACTTGAAAATTGCATTGCGTCATGCTCTCTTTAATTTTGATCTAAAATATTGATTCTGAACAAGTAAGCCGAGGTTCAATTTCTACCAATGCACAATAGGAACATTTCATTGAAATAGGTGGCCAAAAATATAATCGTTGTATTTATGTGGATTTTAAACCTTATTTGAGTAAAATAGAGACTTAATATAACAATTTTTATTTTTGTGTTTAACTTGCTTATAGGCGCATCAAGGGGGGTAGGGAAATCCACCCCTCTTGATGCACTGGCGCACCAATTGGATTTTTTATATGTTATACTTTTAGATATTGTTTAAATAATTGATGATTTTCCAGGGCTCCAAACTTGTTATGTTCATGCTTAAGTCAAAGTATAATGGTTTGCAAAAAGTTTGCGGTGGTTGAGATCAAAAATACTCAAAAAATTAAGCTCTTTTCCCACCCAAATATGAGGGCAATGAGTCCAAAAAAAGATTTTTGCTGCTATCTTATACTAAACTTAAATTCGTTGACAGGTTTCAACTTTCATTGAATAATCTTTAATTTTCAGAAAGTTATGATCATATTAAGTTTACAACCCAATGATTTAAAGTTTTCTTATCCTGTAGTTTCACAAGCCACTTGGATGTGTGATCCATAAGATCCTGTAGTTTAACTTAGGCCTTTGTTTCCGTAAGGATGTTTTTAAAGGTAAGCAGTCGTTTTTTATTTTGGAAGTTACTCTAGATGTTACTCGATAGAAATCTGCATGGTGCTTCTTTATGGGTATTTTTATAAACACTTCTTGAAAGTTTGTTATCCAAGAAATATAAATATGCAAAAGCTTCTTCAGACGTAGTATTCTCTTGCAATGTGGTTAGGTGAGAGTAAAGTAATAACAATTCGTAACGCTTTCTTTGTAACGACACAAAGTAATTTAACTTAATTATAGTCATGTTTTTAAATGCTTTTCTTTGTGCCACTAACAATATTTTGACGGATTCCGTTTTTGAATCAAATTATATATTTGCTATTATTTGTCTTGGTTCGAGAACTTGATTTATCAGGCCTTTTTTTGGTCGACCTCTTTTGATGATTGTTTTATTAAATTCTCTTGATTACTTGGTAATTCAACTAAATCAATTGTTTTAAAAAATTAATTAAGCCAAACTTGAATCATTTCTTTTTTTTTGATATAATGAATGTCATAGTGCAACATACTTTGCAAAAGTTAGTTTTAATCTCTTTCTTAATACATTTGTTTTGTCTTTTCTGACTTGAATCCTTGTAACAATGTATTTAAACCCATTATTTACATTTTCAAAAGCATTTTTGAAAACCTGAAAATATAATATGACATTATATAAACATTAAATTGATTTCCTCCATTATCTTAGTTCACAACAATAAACTTACAAAGTAAAAAGAAATTTTTTAACAAAATTTAGAAATTCATGTGGTTTTTGGTCGATGAGTGGGACATTAAAAATGCACTTTATTTTTAATTATTTTTTTTAATTAATTATGTAATTTAAAACCATAAACTCATAAAATTAAAATAAAAAATAACTTTTTTTCCTTTCAATAAAAACACGTAAACAAATTTACTTTGGTCTTTCATTTCTTAAAGTAAGTTTTTTTTTACTTTTTGTAATGAATGAAAAAAAAAATTGTTTATTAAAAGAAGATTTTTATTCGTTTAAAAAAACATCAATTTTTCAAAATTATTTAGCGCTCAAGATCGCGGATGATCGCAGCTACACTTCTCAGGGTAGTTAGTAGACACTATAACTAAAAAATATCAAAATATGGAAAAGATACAAATTGGTACAATTTTTTAATTCTTCATCAAAGTTAAAATTTAGTATTGTTGTAATGAAGTTTTTACTTTCATTGCTAAATATTGTAGTACCAAATTTTTCGAGAAATTTTTTATTTTTTTATTTTTAACAGTCTATACTGTAACCTTTCCAATGATGTGTATATTCTCAATTTTCAATGATCTATATATTAAAAAAAAATATTAAATACTAAAATCCAGCATCTTGAGAGTTTTTATCGAAAATTCATAAAAAACCTAACTTCAAGAAGCCACTACCGTTGAGCCTGTCACATTTAGGATTTCATAAATTAGAAAATTCTTAGTGAGGGTATTAGTAACAAAACCCACTATCTAACATTATGATTGAACTTTGTAATTTTTTTGATTTTTGGCCATATGATTTCCCACTGTACAATGGCGGCTTTTTTTTTTTTTTTTCCGATTATTTTAAAATATAAAATAACTTTGAAGTTAATAAAAGATTATATACAAACATATGTAATGTAGCGGTATCATACACTTTCATAAAAGAAAAGATTTTAAGAAAACTAAAATTTTATAAAACATCAACAACAAAAAAAAAAACATCACCGGGAGAAAAAATTTGATGCGTATGTATGACCATGGACGTAAGAGATGGACGTGCAACTTATTGTTGTTTTTGCGAACTATGCTCAATAATTAGGCGTCTGTATTGTTACAAGTCTATTTTTTATTTATTTTTATTTTAGATTTATTAAACACCCACTATACAAGTAAGGTGAATTAAGAGTTTCATACAAGATAAATATAAAAATCTTGGAAATTTTTTTTTTTTTAACGTGATCATCTTGGAATATTTTTTTCAAGAATGTCCTTGAAGATAGTTCTCTGCTCTTTTAAGTTCCAGTACTCAACTGCACATTTTAGAGATTGAAGATCCGTTACAGGAATTAAATTTTTGAGGCCGACAATTTTTATTTTTTTTTTACTTTCCATTATTGTCTCCAGATTTAGTTCATGATTATTGCACAACCCTTTGATACTATCTAAAAAATGTTGTGGGGATGTTTTGTTTTTCAGCTGCGACCTAATAATGTCATATGTCATTTTATTGTTCATCAAACGAATAAATAAGTTTAGCTTGTTTTGTTGTATAATAATTGATATATCTTCAATAAAAAATAAGGTATGAATATAATTTTTGCTATGTTTTGAAACATCGAGGAGTGACTTAAGTGCATTTCTTCCATCTATATCAAGCTTTTGCATTAACAATAATTCCAATTGTGTTGGAACAGCTTAAGTTTTATATAACTGAACAATGGAGTTTGGGTGAGCAAAACGGATTCCTGATTGAATTAAGGTTTGGATTACATCCGGAAATTAGATATTCGGTGATCAATGTTTGATTTATTAAGTGAGGCAAAAGGGGAACTTTTTGTATCTTATGTAAAGTCTAGATGACTAAGTTTATCATGAAGTTTTATTTGTTGGTGGTTGAGAGTTATTGTGCAGTTTTTAATTTGCTTTTTTCCGGTGAGCAGGAACTCGGTTTTGTCAGCATTCAATTTTATGCAGTTTTTGTATGTGTACATATTACATATATTAATAAGCTTTTGTAGGCCAGAGAGGGTGGAGCTATTGTTTCAAACAAAAGAAAAAAGTTATGATTCTATACGTCGATTTTTTAACGATTTATTGAACTTGTTTAGTTAGTCTAAATTATGGTTTTTCATAATATTGTTGTTAAAAATTCATGAACAGTCAGGGCAGTACTTTAGTTGTTATAACATTAACAATGTTCGTAAACGTTCACAATTTTATGTAAAAGTTGTGTATTAAAAATTTGTAAAATGTAGTTTTTTGTGATTTTATAATAAAAACCTAATTTTTAAAGCAAACAGCAAGTATGCAATTACGATGTTATCATCGAAGTTATTTTAGTAGTTAAGAAGTAATTTAATAAAAAAAACTACATCTTTTAATAATGATCTTGTTAAAACAATCTTTTTATAGTTAATTTTATCTAAATACACTAAGGTAATTTGGTTAATTGTAGCCTAGTTTTGAAAGCAAACTGTTTGTTATAAAAGTTAATAATAAAATTAGTATTAATATAATTAAATTGAGACAGTTTATATCACGTTAGGATGATTAAATTAATTTCAAACCGGATTTTATTTTATTTATTAACATAACGTATAATAAAAGAAGGCAAAAAAAGTGGCATGTCGGAGAAAACAAAAAAATATATTAAAGTTGAAACAAAATGAGCAAAGAATTTACCCAGCAAACATGTCAGCGTTGAATCAACGTTGAAAACCGGTCGCAAAAGATGTTGCGGAAACGTTGACAAAGTAATCGATTTTGCAAAGATATGTAACGTTGTTTAAGAGACGTTGATTAAACGTTGTAGCGTAACGTTGAAAAATCGTTACTAATAGACGTTACGAAAATGTCGCAACTAAACGTTGAAAAAGCGTTACTTAAAAAGCTTTGGCGTCGCAACTTAACGTTGAAATAACGTTACATGAAAAGCTTTACTTTAACGTTGTTAAAGCAGTTGATATTGCAAAGATTTGTAACGTTGGTAGTAAAACGTCAATTTAACGTGACTCAAAGACGTCGAGAAAAGGTTGAAATATAACGTTAAATCAACGCTCAAATGCGCTGGACAAAATATCGCAAAATATTATTAAACGTGATTAAACTTGGCTATAATGTATATTGAATTTGCAAATAAAACAAAACTGTATGTTGAATTCTGCACTTGCAATATTTCCAAAGTCGATTTTTAATACAAATAGTAATATACAATGAAAAACATAAAAAATATACAATTTATTTATATAAAATTTACAATTTATAAATAAAAATATAAACATCTTTTTTAAGATTTATGTGTGTGAGTGAATTTACAGGATTTACGTATCTGAGTGAAATTTATGTGTGAGTGGATTTACAGGATATCGTATCGATAAGCCAGGATATCATTGAGATACAGAATCTAAATCAAAAAATAAAACTTGTATCATTATCAATCTGAGAGCAAATGTTTAAAAGATGTTATTGAATTAGTATGATCATTATTAAACTTAAAAAGTAAAAATAAATATATATATATAAATAATATATATATATATATATATATAAATATATATAAATATATAGAAATATATATAAATATATATAAATATATATATATATATATATATATATATATATATAAATATATATATATATATATATATATATATATATATATATATATATATATATATATATATATATATATATATATATATATATATATATATATATATATATATATATATATATATATATATATATATATATATATATATATTGTGATCGTCGTAATAGCATAAAATAAGTAATTTATTTAAAAAAATAACACGACGTTTTTTATTCTTGAAATGTTTTGTAGTAAACAACTGGGGTTGATATTTGACTGGGGCCGGGGCGGGTTTGATAAACAAATAGCAAACAGATATGCTTATATCTATAATATGTGTGCAAAAAGTGCATCTTGAAAGCTTATATTGCTTCTGGAATAAAAGTTTGGAAGCTTTTATTACTTCTCTTCAGTTTTAAATCAAGCCTCATTCTACTCTACATCTTTCAACATTAATTACGTTTTTCAGCTTTTTTATAAGAACACCTCTCTTAAGAAAAAATTGTCCTTTTTATTATTGCAATAAGCTAATGTATAAATAAAGTCTTGTCTGATGTAAATCTCTGTTATTCTCAGTTTACAAAACCTTGTATCTTATCTTAGATGTTGATTCTAGAGACTTTTGGGTACTTTTCAACAGTGTTATTATTAACTAAAGTAAGTCTAACGTTTAATCTCTAACTTATGGATCTCATCTTTTTACTTTACCCCAGAGTAAAACAGAGCTATTTACAAGGAAATCTTACTCTAGTTTGACTCTGGAATATAACGGCCATTTTCTTCCTGACAGTAAAATATTTTTGCTAAACTTTAAATTAATCCATTGTAAAACATCGAAACTACTCTAGCTTCCAATACTAAAACTAATTCTTAATTGAACACTTCTACAGTTTGTGCTTCAGACAAGATTTTCATCATAGTCTTAAAAAAGTGTTCTCCAGAACTATCTACAATTTTTGCTAAACTTTAAAAAAGTGCTAAATACGTGGTTCCAATTTTTCAAATCTCTAAAAAACACTTTGACCTCTCCTCTCCTACGATTCTTCTTTACTTTGTTATTAGTTTCTTATAATTTTCTATGAAAAGGTTTTGAGGTAATTAAATTTAATCTTGAAGGCCTACCCTCTTTATTTCAAGTAACTTTAAGGTTCTATATTTGTTCCTGTAATATTTTTTATCTACAATAACAATCATAATGAAATCTAAAGTGGATCTATTTGATGATGACTCCACTTTATACTCTTGTCTTGACAATAAATCTTTACTTTTTAATTGCATAGAACAAGCAGCAAATTTTAAATCTGATCTCTCTTCTGTAATAACCTAAGGCTTGCTGTGTCTTATGGATTTAAATTATGGACTTAAAATCTGCAGTTTTTGTTAGACAACAAAATTCATTTATTTACTACAAAAAAAAATATTGCAATATTGTTGGTATTCCTATTTTGACAAATAAAAACCCTATAATTATTATTATATATTATATAATAATAATAATAATAATAATATATAATAACAATAATATATAATAATAATATATATAATAATAACAATAATAATATATATATATATATATATATATATATATATATATATATATATATATATATATATATATATATATACAGTAAATTTCCGGTTATTCGAACTGGAACTTATTTAAATTTTCTCTCTCTATATATATACATATGGAAATATATATATATATATATATATATATATATATATATATATATATATATATATATATATATATATATATATATATATATATATATATATATATATATATATATATATATATATATATATATATATATATATATATATTAGGGCTGTTCATGTGAACACAGGAAAAAAAAATTTTTCTCGGATTTGAATGCATAGTTGTTTATTTTGTGCCATTTGACATAGTAATTGACTGTGTAAAAAATCTTTCCAATCAGATAATGTTTAGGGGGTGCTCAATGACCATAAAGTTTTACGAAAAACGTCAAAAACGTGGAAAAAGTTCCAAAGTTCCAAAAATTTCTAGAACCTGGTTAGTTAGATTTTTTCCACTGAAATATTGTCTGATTGCGTGCTATATAGATTAATTAAAGTGCAGCAGATTAACTGTCATCAGGGCACCAGACTAAAAAATGTCTGCTAGTGTTTAAAACAACTGTGTTTATATCATTTTGTTAAAATTTGTATTCATAATTTTAATACTATTATTTAACTCAATTTAGAATTTGTTCAAACAGAATAAAAAGGTTTACAAGTATAAATATTATTTTTATTTGGAATTTCAGTTTGACAACAAATGTATTAATATTTTGATAGTACCTAACCTTAGTAACCTATTACAGAAAACTAGCATGGTAGTCTGGTAGTGTATTGTTTGTTAATAAGTGCAGATAATAATTATTTCTAATTTGAAAATATTTATTTAATTTTAGTAATAATTATTATTATATATTGCTGCAGCTGCATAAACCAACAACTGAATGATAAGTTTGTATAATATGGTATTGAGTTTTGATTTTCTCATAATTTTTCAGTTATCATTGAAATGGCAGCATCATCTCGTGTTGCTATCTCTACACGACTTCAAACCGAAATCTTTTTAATTGGACAACCAGAGCCAAATCTTCCAGATAAAGTTCTTCCCTTAACATCTGATGTTTTAAAAACATTTTTTTATCATCTTAATTCAACCAAAAAGTCAGTGCCTGAAAGTCTTAAAACAACTGTTGATGAACTGATTATTATTTGGAATAAAGCCCGTATTCCGACAGCATTTCATCCGAATGTAGTCTTAAAGTTGAAAACTTTAGTCCAGGAATTTAAATTAATAAAAAAAAATAAATCCAGATTGTCAGATTCTCAGAAATCAAGAGAGAAATCATTTACAGACACCATTGGCCTACTTTTTGACATTGCCCACAAGGATGCTGAAACCATGATCAGAATTGAAGAAGATAAAGAATTTTTATTGGATCAGAGATGTCAGAGAAAAATGGTGATGTTTGGAGAGGACAAAGAACTTTCAAAATTAGAAGCAAGAAATGAAGCAAGGAAACAAGCAGAGAGAGAACGAAAGCTAAAAGAAGAGCAAAGACAATCTGGTGCGAGTGCAATAGTTCCTGTTATTGAACCTTTACATGACGAAAGTTATAGTGATGACAACGATAACGATGCTGTTGATAATGACAAAATGGTTGATAGAGATTTTAAGATCCCTGTTTATTACAGACAACAAGTCAGTAAAGCAAGTTCTTCAGGGTCAGCTGAATCAAGTTTAGCAAGTACTCCAAAACGACAATGTATCTTAGATACAATTCTTGACTCGCCTGATGTTTCATCAACATTAGACAGAATTAATCTATCTGACACAAAATTTACTATACTAGCAGCAGCAATTGCAAGGGCTGGTGGACAGAACCTCGATGATGGATCATTGTCACGTTCTACAGTCCGTAGAAAACGAACCTATCATCGATCAAACATTGAAGCCACTGTTCGAACTGAATTCTGCGATTTGGACAAACCACCATTAATCGTCCACTGGGATGGCAAACTGATAATAGATCGTACAAATTCTGCAGACCCTAAAGCAAATGTTGACCGGCTATCTGTAGGTGTGACAGGTCACAATGTTGACAAAATACTTGGAATAGCAAAACTATCAGCTGGAACTGGAGAAGCCCAAGCAAAAGCAGTTATTCATCTGCTTAATTTCTGGGACATAATTGGTGATGTTATTGGAATGAGTTTTGATACTACAGCCTCTAACACTGGCTCCGAAAATGGTGCATGTGTAGTTCTAGAGAAACATATAGGTAGAAATTTGTTATATTTTGCTTGCAGACACCATGTTCATGAGATCATAGTAGCAGGAGTGTTTGGATCACTATTTGGACCATCATCTGGTCCCAACATACCTCTTTTCCAGAGATTTCAGCAATATTGGCCCAAAGTTAATCAAGGAAATTTTAAACCTCTGGATGACATTCGAATGAAAATACCCCTGGTGCAAGAACTACAAAATGAAGTGATGTCATTCCTCAAAGAAAACCTGCATGTTAAAATGCCAAGGGATGACTACAAAGAAATCATGGATCTCTGTCTGTTAATACTTGGAAAACTGCCTGATCAAGAAGAGAAAAATTATCATTTCAAGATCCCTGGTGCTTATCACATGGCTCGCTGGATGGCCAAGGTTATTTATTGTTTTAAGATTTATTTATTTCGTGAAGAGTTCAAGTTGACCACAAAAGAGGAAAAAAATCTCTGTGAATTTTGCTTATTTGCTAGTCTGGTTTATGTAAAATCTTGGATATCATGCCCAAATGCCAGCGATGCTCCAGTTAATGACTTGTTTCTGTTTCAGCAACTTAAGCAGTTTGCAGTTGTGAATAAAACAATTTCCGAAGCAGCAGTCAAGAAATTTCAAAACCATTTGTGGTACCTTTCACCAGAATTGGTCCCACTAGCTTTGTTTTCAAACAAACTTAAAACGGAAGAGAAGCGAAAAATGATTTCCAACATGAAATTTCACTGTGAGAACTGGTCTGAAAGGTTGATCAAATTAAAGAACATTGAAAGTCTAGAGAAGAAATCTCTGGACATGCTGGTGACATCCGTTTCAGCAAGTGCGTTGCGGTCAATGAAGGTTGATATTGATTTTCTGTTCAACAACGATCCAGCTACCTGGAATGATTCCCCAGAATACCAAGAAGGAAAAAATTTAGTATATTCATTGAAAGTAGTAAATGATGCTGCCGAACGATCTGTGGCTTTAATGTCGATGTTTAATGAATCGATTACAAGGAATGAATCTGAAATGCAGAGGTTAATTCAGGTGGTTGAGGATCACAGAAAGCGAGTGCCAGATGCCAGAAAGTGTACTCTGAAGAGTTATAGTCCTCGCTAGCATTAACATTGCACGAACTATAACATTACGATAATTAAATGTTAATTGCTCATATGTTTTTGAGTTGACCTACTTAGTAGTTGATAACGGTTTGAGAAACTGTTACTCCTTTACAATAATTTTTTTTGTTTATAATTCGTATTTTAATCAATGACGAAGAGTCAAAAATCTTAGTGTTTTATTTTGGAAAAATTCTGATATAACAAAAACCGCAGAACTTTAGTCGTATTGCAGTATTTTATTTCATTAATTTCTCTGCTAATAAACCAGTATAAAGTGGATGTGGATTGTAATTTGTATTCAGAATTTAATATTTAGAGATAATTAAAACTGATTAAATCTGAAAAATCTAATTAACCGGGTTTTAGAAATTTGTGGAACTTTGTTACTTTTTCCATGTTTTTCACATTTTTCGTAAAACTTTATGGTCATTGAGCACCCCCTAAACATTATCTGATCGGAAAGATTTTTTGCACAGTTAATTAATATGTCAAATGGCTCAAAATAAACAACATTGCAATCAAATCTGAAAAAAAAAATTTTTTTGGACAGCCCTAATATATATATATATATATATATATATATATATATATATATATATATATATATATATATATATATATATATATATATATATATATATATATATATATATATATATATATATATATATATATATATATATATATATAATACAGGCTTCGGCAGGAATGACGGGCTATAGCCCGTGTCCGTCTCCGCACCCGTCTAAGTCAATTTAGACGGGCGAAATAAAGCCCGTCTGAAACATAAGTTTTGTGTAAAAAAAAAGATGAATATTTTGATGTTTTTTTATTAAGATACTCTTTTAAAACTTCTCTCATGACATAATTTTAATATGGATAGCAAACTCCAACTTATAATTGTTTATATTTAAATATAAAAATTAAACAATTTAATCATTATTGTATAACATGATGTAGAAAATAATATAACTAAATCTTACAGTTTTTTAAACGACGATAACTGTTTGACGTAATACCAAACAGTTACCATATTATGTTCAAAATTTAATAACTATTATATTAAATAGGGAAATATACACATGTGATACACAAGAAGTATCATGTTGTTTTTTTGGTTTTTCAATGTTTATAATAATAACGGTAATAAACTAATTATCCATGTATTTCGCTTTTTTCCGATAAACTAGTTTGTCTTACTTTAAAGACATTTAAAGTGATATTTCCGCGTTAACTTCCGCTTTAACTTCACGTTTTTTCTTAAAGAGATGGCAGTTTATTTAATATGCAATTATATAACTCGTTATTGAAAATGAAATATCTCATTAAAAATCAACAAACGTCTAATCAATTTTTGTAGATAATATAAATAGTGTTGCTTTATAGTTATGAAGTTATTCAAGTTATCCAGTCATTCAAGTTTTTCAAGTTATTCAAGTTTTTCAGTAAAGATAGTAATGGCATCATCTGGTAGAAGAGTTACATTAGCAACATTTTTGAGTTGGGGTAAAGATGGAGTCTGTGGAAAAGAAACTGAGGTGGAGAATGGAACAATTTTTGTTGTGAAGATATGGTGTATGGTTTGTATAAAATATAAAAAAGAATTGCTTCGCGAGTTAAAAGGTCTGGCAAAATCAAAAGCATTAGCATTTATAGAGGGCACTACGAACGTTAAAGCTAGCAACATACATACGCTTATATACATGCTTATATTGTATATAAAGTAACGGAAGCCCCGGTATCTTAAGAAATTATTAGTACTTCTAAATAAAAACTTATTTTATTAAAAGAAATTAGATTTCAAATTTTTTATTCACGTATCAGAATAACTATTTCCGATCAGGATAGGCATAGGTAAAGCAAAGTTATAAAAATATAAATAACAGTTTAAGTTTTTAATTTGCACGCCCAATAGAATGCAAGAGTATATAAATAATTGAATTTGAAAAATAACATAGTTACGTATCATATTACCAAGCTAACACCAAACAATTCTAAAACTATCGAGCTCATTGATTCAAGGTTAAAAAAAAAAAAGATTTCAAACTATTTGCTGAATAATTAAAAAAATTAGATTTTGAAAATATTATGTAATATTTTTATTCACAAAGAATAAGAGAAACGAATGAACTAAAAAAGCACGATAAAAACCTGTATAATTTAATCGAATACTTAAATAAAACAATAATATATAAATATACTCAAAAAGACTTCGGTAAAAAAACACGTTAGGATGCTTGAATAAGGAAACGTGATGTTGTTGGTTGTTTCGAGGATTTTTCCCGTCGTTTTCACGTTCATTCGTTTGACTATATCTGCCAGATATTATCTGGAATAAAGATTAAAAAAAAACAACATAAAAAACTGAATAAAGTTCCTTCGAGTAAGAAATTTAAACAAAAGCAACCATAAAACAACTAACCCACGTGAAACGAAATTATATCTGTGCAAGTGAAAACTTTGAAAAACAATTATTGAAATCTTAGTTTTAAGTATTATCCAACTCATTTACGGCAGTGTTTTAATTACTTAAGTAATTAAGCATTTTAAACAGTTAATCGCTTTCTAACATATTATTTTAGTGCAATTCACAAAATGTTTAATATTCAATGACATTTTCATTCAAAAAGAGAAATTAACAAATTAAAAAAAAAAAAAGTTCTAACTTTAGAATTTTTTTTAAAGCTTAAAAAAGCCCGTGCAAGACCATCTAGACGGGCGGCCCTCATAGCCCGTCAAGTCTATTTAAGACGGACTTTTCATAGCCCGTACGGTTTTTATTCCTGCCGAAGCCTGTATATATATATATATATATATATATATATATATATATATATATATATATATATATATATATATATATATATATATATATATTTATTTATTTATTCACATAAATATTTATATATATTTACATAAAATATATATATATATATATATAAAAATTTTGAAACAAAAATTGTCATATATCCATACATTAATTAACTAAATAAAAATTACTTCAATAGGTGTAACTCTAAATCATCAATTTAAATCATATTATGTACTTCGCAGTTAAAATCAAATCATTCCTCAATCTTTGATCCACCAGAACTTTACTAAATAAATTTATACTGGTAATCAAACTACCACAAATCAAAAAATTTAGACAGTATTATTGAAATCAGCTTTGACCAATAGTTAATATTTGATTTTTTTTTATTCTTTACTATATACAAAACAAAGAAAAGTTAAATCCGAAGAGAAACAAAATTATTCACAAACATAATTACTTACATTCTTCTTTGGAGTCCTCTTTAGTCATGAAATTAAATCCTGCACATACTTCTTTATCTATTAGTAATTATTTAGTAAAATAAATATAAACAAAATTATGTAAAAACAAAAATGTAGAATAAGTGTAAACAGATTACAATATATATCTAGGCAGTATTAATACCATAAACAGATTCAAAATATTACTTATTCCGAAGTAAAAATAAAATAGTTTATTTGATATAGTACTTCACCGTTAATATAAAACTATAATAGTTTTTTTATTTATATAAAACAATTAAAATAGCAATACTTACTGTAAAATTTAATGAACTCCAGTTATTTTAACTCTTATATATATATATATATATATATATATATATATATATATATATATATATATATATATATATATATATATATATATATATATATATGTAAATGAATATATAGTTTTTATGTGTATACACATAGTTGTCATGTTTTGAAAATGTTTACAAGGAAGACTTGAAAAAAATGTTATACCACTGGATATTTGTCCACTAAAATACCTCTATTGACTAAAAAAGTTTTTTAATGATTTATTACTCTGACAACTAACTTAAAAATGTCCAAATTTGTCCACTGGCTGAGCTGAAATTTATTCTGTATAGATATACTTTTATATATTTATGTGTTGAGCAATTTTTAACAATCTTTAACCATTTTTCTTAACTTATAAAATGAAAACAATTTAAAAAGTTAGAAGCTTGCTGTATTTTAAGTTACTAATGAGGAAAAGAAAGTTTTTAAATTATTTTTAAATGCAGGTTGGAGATAAATTTCTCTTCAAAGTTCAGAAAACTCCTGTCTAATAAAACTTATTTAATAAAACTAGTATACAAACTCTTAATAAAATAATAAATAAATGTTAAACTATATGAATATAAAATTCCTCATAAAATATTAAAGTCTTAAATATTGATAATAACTCTTTAATAAAATTTCCAAACCATTATACCAACTTATATATTTTTCAATAAAAATGACTAGACATGACAATATTTTGTAATTTAAAAAAAAAAACATTTGTTTATTATACACACACAATATATATACATATTTATATATATATATATATATATATATATATATATATATATATATATATATATATATATATATATATATATATATATATATATATATAACAACAATAACAATAACAATATATATTCTGAAATAATAGTTTACATTTCATGGTAGTTTACTAATAGTACGAGTACTAATCAAAGGTAAACACCAATTAAATAATAATAGCAATCATATAATAATAATAATAATAATAATGATAAAAGCAATAATAATAATAGCAATAATAATAATAGTAATAATAATAGCAATAATAGCAATTGTAATAATAATAACAATAATAATAATAATAACAATAATAATAATAGCAATAATAACAATAATAATAATGTAAATTTAACGAAGACGATTATAATAATACCAATAATACTATTAAATATAATAATGACAATAACAATGAATATATCAGTAATTATAATAACAAAAGCAATAATAGTAATAATAATAATAGTAATGAAGTTAACAACAATAGTAACAACAATAATAATATTAACAAATATCACATTCATATATTAAACAATTCCAATAAGTAATAATGGCGGTAATAAAAATGCAAATAAAATGTAAGTAATATTAACATCACATATAATAATAATACTAATAACAATAGTAATAATAATCTATTATAAGCCTAAGATTTTAATTTGCGTATTTTTCTATCAAAAAGTCAAAAAGACGGGTTTTAAATTGTGAAAATGAAAAGGTAAATTATTCCATGATTTTACGCATTGGTTTGTAATAGAATTATCACCGTATTTTACCGAACAGCGATTTGGGATAGATAATTTAAAGTTGCTCAAAGATCGAAGGTAATAACGAGAACTTTTTTTAGTGGTAAAAAAATTAGAGAATGACGGAGGGAGGTTTACTTGTTTATGATTCCAGACAAATAGACAATTTAATAGATAAACAAGATCACATAATTTGAGTATTTTTGATAGAAAGTAAAGGATGTCAGAGTTAGAATGATACTGTTGAAAGAATATTATTTTTAAAGCTTTGTTTTGTAGGTTACATAACCTTAAAAAAGCATTAGACTTGCATTGTCCCCAAACCTGACAAGCGTATCTAAGATGAGATCCAAAAATTGCATGGTATATATTAAGTAGTGTTTCATAATTGACATAGTGGCGAATTTTGGCTAGCATCCCATTTGATCTACACAATTTTACTGCTAAGTTTTTAAGATGAGAGGAAAAGGATAGATCTGAGTCAATTTGGATTCCAAGATATTTTAATGAAAGTAAGGGAAAAATTTTTTGTCCACTTAGTCTAAAGTTTAGGTTTTTACACATTTTAGATTGATTAGATTTGAAAATAATGAGTTCAGTTTTGTTGGTATTAAGACTTAGTTTGTTAGAGCGCAGCCATTGAAGAAGGTTAGATAAATCATGGTTAATATGTTTGTTAATTTTTTTTAATGATTTGTTAGTTATGAGTAAGTTGGTGTCGTCAGCAAAATGGTAAGCCGTTGAAAATTTTAGAGAGATATTAAGATCATTTATAAAAATAAGGAAAAGCAGTGGTCCTAATACAGAACCTTGGAGTACACCAGTGGAGCATTTTATTGGAAAAGATTTGGCATCATTAATGGAGACAAATTGCGATCTATTAAAAAGATATGATGAAAACCATTGGAGAGTGTTACCTCGAACACCGTAGTGTTCCAATTTTTTTAAGAGGATGGAGTGATCAACAGAATCAAAGGCTTTCTCTAAGTCAAGAAACACTCCACATGCAAAAAGCTTATTGTCAAGAGCATTTCTAATAGTTTCAGTTATTTTAATAAGTGCATGAGTCGTGGAGTGTTTGTTACGAAACCCATACTGATGTTTGTAAAGACATTGGTTTTTGTCAAGAAAGCTATAAAGTCTGTTGTACATGGCTTTTTCAAATATTTTACTAATGTTAGATAGAAGAGAAATCGGTCGATAGTTTCTGTGATCCATTAGAGAACCCTTTTTATGGATAGGAATAACTTTGGCTATCTTAAAAACAATTGGAAAAAGACCTTTATTAAAAGAATTATTTAATATGGTACAGAGAGACTTGCAAATAACATGAGAAGTAAGTTTAAGAAAGTGTGTGGGGATACTATTTGGTCCAAAACTTTTACCATTTTGTAAACTATTTTTTATTAAATTAGATACCTCATTTTCAGTCACTGGATTAAGAAAGAAAGAATTCGAATTAGCATTTTTTAAATAGTCAGAGAAGATACTTTTAGAAGAAATCATTTTACTTTTGGGTGGGTGTTGTATTGTTTCATAGTATTTGTTAAAAATGTTAGCAACAGCCATACTGTCAGAGATAGTGTAACCGTTAGACTTAAGAGTGTAAGATTTAATTGGTGTAGAGGGTTTGATATTAATAATTTCTTTTATTCCTTTCCATGTATTTTTTATATTGTTGAAGTTTTTGTTAAAGAAGGAGATGTAGTATGACTTTTTGGAAATTCTTAATAAATTGCTAATTTTATTCCTGTACAATTTAAATTTATCAAATAGTTGACTTTTTGTGTTGCAATTTTTAGATTTTATATACTTTTTGTAGAGCTTATTTTTAATTGTAATTGACTTCAGAACTCCATTAGTAATCCAAGGTTTAGATTTGAGTTTAACTTGGTTTTTGGTTAGTTTTTTGTACGGGGCATGACGATCAAGAATTGTGTTGAATGTTTTTAAAAAGAAGTTCATTGATTCATTGACATCATCACCATTTCTGATATATAACTTCCAGTCAATATTAGAAATATCCTGAATAAATTCATTACCATTGAAATTCTTAAATGATCGTTTAGTTGTTATGGATTTTTTTCTTTTGAAAGGAGTACTAGGAATGCAAACAAACTGTGCCATGTGATCTGAAATTGATATTGTTACGTTACCAGAAATAAGATTAGGAATTTGAAAATTTAAGAAGATGTTATCAATAATTGTTTTAGAATTACAGGTTACTTGCGTTGGTTGAATTATTGTTGGGTAAAAAGAATAAGAGCAAAGTGAGTCAAGGTAATCAGATATAATAAGGGATTCATTGTAGTTTAGTAAGTCCATGTTAAAGTCACCCATTAACATAACCTGTTTATTTTCATAACTAAGATTTTCAAGTAAAGGATTAAAATAATCAGAAATAAATTCCTTTGGGTTCATTGAAGGATGCTGGTATATGCAGCCGACAATGATATTTTTCTTAAAAGGATTAACAATTTCAATAAAGATAGATTCTAGAAATTTTGGGGCATATACTATAAGATCTCTTCTGACATTGTAGTTTAGATCGGATTTTAAGTATAGAAGAGCACCTCCTTTTTTAGCTTCAGTAGAGCATTGTTCGATGTTATAACCATTTATACTACTGTCAGTTATATTGGGATCGTTAATATACAATTTAGACTCCGAAATTCCAAATACTGTTGGAAAAATGGTAAGTGAACTTATGAGACTGCGAAGTTCATCAATATGAAAGTGCAAAGAACCAATGTTTAGATGAAAGTACAATTCAGAATTTGATTTTAAAGTTTTATTGAGATCAAGAATATCGTAGTATTTGCAGTTGAAATAAGTAAAGATTTTATTTATATCCTTAAAAAAGTTGTAAAATTGTAATGGACTTTCTAAAGAATTTAAGGTACTAGTTGGTCGAGTCTGACATGATACAGTTAAAGAAAATTCTAAGTCCGAAAGTGTGCTAAATGGCATATTCTTAATTATGCAACCACTACAATACCAGTCAGAAGTGTCTTTGACAAGAAGGTTATACGAAAATTTGTTGATTGAATTGCACATAGCATGAACCCAAGAAGAACAACAATCACATAAAATGCCTCTTTGATGATTGGCCACTGCTTTATTGCAGAACTTACAATGGTACTTAATTGCCATGTAAAAATATAAGTTAAAAACAAAGCAATAACATATAAAGTATGGCATAAATCAATAATAAATAAATATAGTATAATTTAAAAATAAAGGATATAATAATTAACAAGTAATCATAAAAAATATATAGTATTAAGAATTTTAAATAGTTAATTTAATAATAAATAATATAATAGCAGATAATATATGTGTAATAAATAAATAACAATTAAAGATACAACAACTAAAAAAAAACAAAC